TCGGGCCGCGCCGCGTGCCTCCGCCCTCGGGTTGCGGTGCAGGCGTCTTGGCTGGGGAGGCCGAACCTGAACGTCCCGGGGGAGGGGTTTGGGTGATAAGCTGTGGGTGGGGGCCCCCCCTTCCTGTCCTTGCCGTAGATGAAGCCCTGCCAGTCTCCCAGACCGCCCTCGTTTCATTTTGAGTTCACTCCTTAAACTGTATTTAAAATTCACTTTGCGAAGGCAATCAGTGTACCTGGAGAAATTTGAAATGTAATAAAGCTGTGAAAAAGTGCAAAATTGTGCTCAGAGAAGTGAACTTCACCTGGTTTGAGAAGGCACAATAATTTTAGGCGCCTCAGTTTCCCCATCAGTGAAAGAGGAACAGGTTATATGGCAGTGACATTCGAAGGCGCTAAGGCTGTGAGAGTGGAGGAGGTCTCCAGGGTTACCCTGCCCGGTGATGCATTGTAAGACCCAGTGCAGGCCGGTGGGTGTGGACAAAGCAAGGGGACATCACTGGACTCCAGTGGAGGTTGGTTCCATGGTGTGGTGGTGACTTTTAACTTGGGCGTCTTCTGTTGCTTTCCTTTGCTTATCAGTTTCTGCAGGAACAGCTTCCAGCCCTTGAGTCCCCAGGGTGCACCCTGCGTACACCCCCACTTGTCAGAGCCTTGGGGTGCGAACCTTTCTCCCTGGAGTAAGAGCCCTCCTGTGCAGGGTGAGAGTGTGCTTTGCCTTGGCTCTCCAGGGTCCTCCGTCTCCCCCCGCGCCCCCCTCCCCCCCCATTAAGCCCTTCTACCTCCAACTGGAACACGTGTTCTTCTAATGCCTATTTGAGGAAAACCTTGTAGCTAATAATACAGGCCCCTAAAGAGAATCCGAGAAGGCTTGATTGAGAAGCCTGGAGGTAAGGTGATCTGGCTGCCCTTCTCCCATCACACAGCTTTTTAAAATCTTCTGTCCCACATTTTGTTGCCAAGATTAACACATGGCAAAGGATCATTAAGGAGCCATGTGTTAACTCGGATGGAATTGAGACCCAAGTGTGCTGCCTTCAGTTTTCAGCACTGTTGGATGTGGTCACTGCCGTGGCCAGCAGAATAAATGCTGGGGCTTCCCAGAGTGATAGCTGCCAAGGCACAGGACCAGTTGGATGTGGTGGGTGGCTTCTGGAGCATATCCATTTCCTCTCTTTTCCACACACAGACAGGTCTCCTGCTCCTGTCGAGCAGCATTAATGTTACCTGGTGCAGTGAAAAAGTGATACCTTTCTTCTAGGTTTCTCTCTCTGCTAGACCAGCTCCTGAGGGAAACTGTAAAACCAGAGCAGCTTTAATATTCTTTCGTGCCTGCTGGGGTGGCCTCGGGCTTACAGGACAGTGAGGCACAGTCCCAGCTTCTGGTGGTGTTTCTGTCCTGCTTGTGTGTGGTGACACCTCTCTGTACTGAAGCAGGCTGGAAACTTGAGAGCTAGCGTGCCCCAAGAGGAAGCCAGCCTCCAGCTTTTTCTTTTTCCCCCAGTGCAGCAGGGGCTTCTTGGCACACCTGGGCAGAATGTCACAACCTGTTTCCTGTAAAACTCATCCAGGGAGGCAAGCTGCAAGAAGGACATGAGAGGAAGGGGCTAGTACTGTGTCTGGAGGTTGACACTTCATATGGAATCTGAAAAAAGGTACCAAATTGAGGCTCATCACTCAGGTGCAGTGAGGAACCAATAATTTGTTAAGTAGGGATTTTTACATTCCTAGCTGGAAACTGTGTCTTGAGCAAGTGATGAGTTTGAGCTCTAAAGTTAGACTTCTTGGGTTCAAGTCCTGGTTCTAACACATATGAGCTTTTTGTCCTTGAGCAAGTTGCTCTTTGTCTTTCCTTATCTACAAAGAGGGGATGATAATGGTTCCTACCTCCTAGGACTATTATATTAAGTGAATGAGCCTAGTACAGAGCAAGTACTCAGTGAATGTTAGCTGTTATCAACATCTTTCTCATTATGTCAACTTCAGTTGTTTAAAGGACAGTGGAGATTATACCTTCTTGGACCTGATGGAAGCAGCCACTAATATAAAACAACCCACATGCTCCTTTATGCAAACCAAGCCCAATGGCTGTATAGGAAGGCTGGATAGGAATCCTTAACTCCACCCCTTATAAAAGGCTACTCATGTCACCCCTGTCCCTCCCAGTCTCACTTCCCACACGAGAAGGCTTGGTGATGAAGAAGAGATTGCTGTCTCTTCACCTGATCTGATGTAAATTTTGTTGGACCTCTCTTTAGATTCTTCACTCGATGATGAATTGTTTCCAGGTAGGTATTCTGTTGGTCTCTCCTCACTCTTTAGCTTCTCTTTGGGGCTCTTATTGATCCTTTCCACTCTATTTGGTCTCAGCTGGTTTGAGTAATTGTCTTAAGAGCAAGGCGGCAATCGCATTTTTTTTTTTTTTTTTTAAGCAGTTCTTTTGGCTGATGCGTGTCCAGAAAGGATGTTAAACAATACTATCCTTCTAGGTAAGACTTGAACAAAGCAGGACCTAGCATTGAAAAGTGGATTTGTTTCATCTACCAGATAAGAAAGGACCCAGCAGAACAGAAACAAAACTTGTAGCAAATCCTGCATGTGACTGAGAAATAAACACCTCTTCCTCTTAAACTTCCTGCACCAATTTTAGCTATAGGGGACTTGGAAAATAATCACATCCTCCCACTTGTCCCCTTCCCCACTGAAGTTTTATTGTCCATTAAGTTGAATGCTAGCTCTCATTTGTTTTAATTTTACTATTATGTAAGTTCTTGCCATAGCTATTCTTGATCAGCTTGCTTAGGGCTTGTCAGCTTAGCCACACAGCACCGTCTGGTTCACAAATAGTAAAGCTTGTTTGGCTGGTGTGTTGTAATTTTTAAAATGCACTAGCTGCTACCAAGCGTGAGGAAGTGTCCCGTGTTGATAATTCTCTGATTTTTGTCCGAACCAATGGATTTAACTTCCTGTGTATTTTTATGGCCCTACAAATAGAAAGGTTGTTGTGGGTTTTTTTTCTTGTTTTGTTTTGTTTTGGTAAATTTTATGTTTGAAGAGCTTGAGAAATTTTCTAAAGAAGAAGCATTTGTTAGGAGAAAACCTAATGTGCCCTCTAGAAATGTGACTTTGGTGCAAACTGGTCTAAATCATCAAATCTTAATTTCACTTGTTAATAGTGCTCTAAGATGTACCATACAGGAAATGCCCTGTGTCAAATAGATTACATTGTGTTCCCATAAGTGGCCATTTGTTGAGGACCTACTATGTCACTGTTGGCACATGCTATGTGCAGGTACTAACTAAATGAATGAGGTGACTCCCTATCTCCAAGGAGCTCACCGGTTTCTTGTGAGCATAACATTGGTAAAGGTGAAAATTTTGGTATAGTGTGGTATGTGCACAGATAAAGGATTAACAAAATTGCAGAAGCAGTACAGTGGAAAGACTGAGGAGTACATCAGGACATTTCTTTAATATTTTTGTGTTTGACCAAAATTTGACTGTATGTTATAAGAGGACATGATTATAGTCAATATAACTTAGAACTGGCATCTGTACCGCTGGGTGTCTCTAGTTCAGCATGAGTCTAATGGTGCCTTTGGACAAATTGTATTTCTCAACTCGTAAAACTGATGTTTTTGTTGTTATTGTCGCCAAAAGCTTCTTAGTAAGTAGTATTTCTTAGAGTCTTTGTAAAAATCTACATCTTTTAAGTGGTTAGCGACCACCTGAGTTCCTAATTGTGTAAGGCTGTGTTACTCGCACCGGATATTAGCATTCTAGCACTGTTGGTTGGCCCCAGGAATTATTGAACACCACAGCGAGTACCTGATTTGAATTCTTTTAAATAAGCAAAGTCACCTTGATATAAAGGGAAAGTAAAATTAGTAAAAGTTTGAAACAGCTAGAGTGTTTTTATAGAGATCATTTTATTTTGGTAAGTCAGTCACTTACCTGAGGCAAGTATTTCGATAATTGTTGGAAAAACATTTTTTAAATATTAAAAATATGTAAATTGCATAATTTGGGAGAAGAGTTAACTTGCCTCTTTATTACTGTTACTCATGCTTCCCATTCTTAGAGATAATTTGAGACTAAGTTTAGTGTATCGGCTGGGAGTTGTTACAGTCATATATGAGGGTCTACTCAGAGTTGTCAGTTTTTAGAAATTGGTAGGTGGGATGGGCTAATGTTAAAGAAAAATTCTGTTCTTCTGGCTTCCCAGGTCTAATATGTAGGCGTTTGTGTTGGATCAGGTCCTGACAATTAAGTCTACAGATTTTTCTGTTTTTTCTTGGAATCCTAGGGGAAAACAAAGTTGAATGCCAATATTTGGTTAGAATGAAAGATTGTCATACCATTTGCTGGATATCAACTTTATTTGTTTCCAGTTTACCCACACAATAAAACCTATTTATTTCTTTTTTACTAATGTGTAACTTTGGTATATTTGGGTTATAATTGAAAGTAATTTTCAATTTTGATCCTTGTAGCAATTAAGAGAAAATACTCTAGTTCATATGTCTCTCTTTTTTTCCCAGCCTAGTCTATCCAGTTAGTTTGAATGAGTTGAAGTTTCATGATGGTGTTTAATTCTGTGGTTATCATCAGAAAGGTATCTCTTGGTGGTTTTATCTCTAGCCTACCCATGGAGCCAGCCCAAAGCAAAATGACGGAAAAGTTGTAAAAGATGGTGTCTTTTAGTCTAGTTAACTTTTCTGTCCTAAATATTTTAATGCAACTTCTTACAGTAAACCTTCAGTTGTAGTGAAGCCACATGCTAGTCTAAGAGTTTGAAAGTCCTTGCTGATCTTTTAAGAGAAAAGGCCACCCAAAAATGAACCAGTGAAAACTTTCTCGAGGCTAATAAATTCTGTGTTAGGAACCAACCCTGGCACTAAAGACATTTTGGAATATTTATATTCTGGGATTGCTGCTTAGAATTGGGGGGATGTCCTAAGTCCTTTGCATGGAATTTTACCGTAATTCTGAGAATGGTTATTTGCTATGGATAGTTTTAAAGCAAGAGTGTGTGGAAAATACTATTGGTTTCTAAAGCTTCACTTTCCATTTGTGGGTCCAGTCTTCCTCCTGCCCATCAAGTTCTAATGTCACTTTCAGAATGCTCAAATGCTTTAAAGTAGCTTGGACTTTGGAGTCTTTTTCTGGGTAGGGATAAATTTTAGGCATACAGAAAAATATGGAGAATAATATAGTGAACACCCATGCATCTACCAAGAAATAAGATATTACGAATATAAGGAAATCCTTCCCCGTTTCATTCCCCTTCCCTCCAGATAGTGGCCACTGTTCTGAATTTGGTATTTATCACGTGTTTTTATACTGTAGTAGGTATTTATTTATGTATTCATCAACCAGATATGGTATTGTTTCCTCATGTTTTAAATATGCTCTGTAATATTGAACAACTCCCCAGTTTGCTTTTGTTTAAATTATGATTTTGAGATTTATGCATTAAAATACATATAATTCTAGGTTGTTTTAACTGCTGTGTAATATTCCATTGCATGATCATACTGGAATATATTTATTTATTTTATCGTTGATTAGCGCTTGGGTTTACAATTTTGTGTGTGTGCCATTTTAGAGCCGTGAACAGCTTTGAACTTGTCTCCCTGTGTATATATTTAAAGCTTCTCTGTGATATATACCTAAAAGGGAAGTTGCCAGATCAAAGGAAATGGGCATCTTTGACTCCTAATATATTGCCAGGTTGCTCTCCAAAAACAGTTGTGCCAGTTTGTATTCCAGCCAGCAGTGTTTGGGAGTTCCAGTTGTTCCACATGCTTGCAGATACCCAACATTGTTAGAATTAATGTGTTGCCAGTCTGATGGATGTGAAATGGTATCTTCCTGGTTTAAAATTAGCACTTTCCTGTGTACTAGTGAGGGTAAACATGTTTGTACGTGTTTATTATGCTGGGTTTTTAATCCGTAGGCCTTGGAGCAGTTTTCCAGGATTTATAAGTCAGGATCGTAGTGTTGTTTTTGTGTGAAAATAGGGAAAAGGGGAAAATCAGGGAGACCAAAAGAAAAAAAAAATCGAGGAAGGTAGAAATGGAACAGAAGATACAGGTTGAAGGAATGATAAGACTGTGAAACAAGTGAATCATTATAGCAAAAAGACTATAGAGTAGATGATACCTTGAATGTTGAGAATAAATTCAGGATATGTTACTGTGCTGGCCAGGCCTTTCAGTTCAAGTCACATTTTTCATGCATTGTTTAATTGAAATCGGCTTCAGTGAAAATCATATCTGGGGTGGGGCAGCTCTTCCGGTGAGAACAGCAAGGCTGGACGTGTGGAGTGATCCTGTTTACCCAGTCGATTTTTGAAGTTCTTTTAGAGAGGCAATGTGAAATTGTGTTCTTACTACAGCACATTTCTTTGTCCTTCATGTTAAGTACACTGTGCAGGAAACCAGCTTTTATCAGGATGCGCTTGAAGGTACTTGTGGAGTTTCTATCTCAAATATTTAGAAAACATTCTCTGCACTTTATTTTGATTTTCAGAGTGTGACGAATGTCATCTTATTGAATGCAGACATGTATGGTTTTAAAAATATGATTAACAATAGCTTTAAAAATATGTTATACTCTAGTGGTTCTTTGATGTACCAAAGACTTGTGCCCACATGTGCATTGTCTTATTAAAAATTCATACTCCGGGGTCCTACCCTCAGAGGTTTTGGTTACGTAGGCCTAAAAAGGGGCCCTGGAATCTGCATTTTACATAAGTCTTTTCTTCTATCCACTCTCTCCTCATTCTGTTACAGGTGAGCTGACAACTATACTTTGAGAAATGTTGCTTTCTTTGGATAATAAACTTGGCCTCCTAAGAAAAATATTACTTGTAGAAATTACTATGTGAAAGTTTTTTAAATCTATGTAAAAATTTTAAGGTAGTAGTTTAATTTCAAGAGCTATAGATCATTGCCATTCTTGATATTAAATAGCCAGATTTTTATTACTTTATACTCCCAGAACAGGGATTCCCAACCCTGGCTATATGTCATGTCACCTGAGAAGTTTTTACAAGAAATTTTTAAAAATCACAATATATTAACTCCCAAAAAAGTATGGAAAAAAGAATGTAATTTATTATATGTTATATACCCAAAATACCTATCCTTCAAATTTAACAGATATTAAAATTTAGTTATATTTGATTAAGATCTTTTTTAATGTAATACCTTAAATAAAGTCACTAACCACCTCTCTTTCTTCTCCTTTTTTCCCCAAAACTAGCTATTTTCCTGAAGTTGGT